CGTTTCAAATTTCGAGTTTAACTTCGACAATTTTTTTTTATATATTTGAAGGAAGAATCTGTGAATAGGGATGGCAATGGGGCGGTGCGGATGCGGGGCGGGGCGGGGCGGGGCGGGTTTGAACGTTAGCGGGGCGGTGCGGGTTTGAGAGTTTGCGGTTGCGGGGCGGGGCGGGGCGGGTTCAAGTTTTTAGTTAAAAAATAACGCGGGGCGGGGCGGGTCGCAGGGCGGGATTTAATTTTTTGTACTAACAGAATCTGTTAGTACAAAACTATTTTTAAAAATATTGCATAAAGTTTAGTTTATTAATATTTACACACGAAACTTTCAGCTCCCACTAAATGTTTTAATTTAATTTCTAAACGAAAGTCAATTACAGATAAGTTTTCAATTTTATGTCAACATTTTATTAAAAGACATCTTTTTATATACCCAGAATATTTTATTAAACAAGAACAAAACAAGATCCAGGAGAACGATTCAAGTGTTATTAAGTGTTAATAAAAGAATTTTTATTAAAAAATTTGCGGGCCGGGTGTACACGGGTGGAGTGCGGGGCGGGTGAATGTGGGTTTAAATCCTATGCGGGGCGGGGCGGGGCGGGATTAGATTGCGCGGGTTCAAACAGAACCCGCCCCGCCCCGCACCGCCTGCCATTCCTATCTGTGAACCATGATATGTAAAGGGCCAGTTTCGTCTAAGTGAAATACTTAAAGGGACACTTTGTGTCAAAGCTTCCTTCATTCAAATTCATCAATAACTGCTTTCTTGTTTCTTTGAGAAACTCTTGTTAGAAAAGCACTTTTTGAACAAAGTCAACTACTTAACAACCCAAGAAATAGCTGAATACAGCTACCAAACACAGTAGTAAACACAAAGAAATTCATCCATCTTCAAACAGTCATAGCTCATAATCATGTCAAGATTGATAATTTTCCTATTAAAATAACTATCAGCTGAAACAAGAATGAACCAGATCAAATTCCCACTAAACAGACAAAGGTTACCAAACCCTTCAATAACTCAAGATTACTCTTTAAAACCAACAAATCAGACAGCATATAAAAACCAATATTTGAATCTTGAACTTAGTTTCTCTGCATATGGAAGAGAAAAGCTGAAGCCTAAACATCGAAAAGAAGAGTAAAAATCTCATAATCATGAAAGAGTGATTTTCTACCCAATTCAATTAATCAATCAAACACCTTAATCTCAAACGAGTTGGGGATTTTCTTCCCATTATAACAACAAATTCATTCCAAATCCAAATCGAAATTCCCACTAACCATGCAAATTTCATCAACGCGTTCAAAGAACAAATTCAAAATTAAGGTTTTAAAATTACTAATTTGAAAAGAATAGGAAAATTAAAAGTACCTGAGACATGATGATGAGAAGAAACTTGAGAGGTTTTTGAAGAAAAAAATGGTTTGATACAAAAAGTCAAGAGAGAAAATTTGGACCTTTGAATGGTGTGATATGAGAGGTGTCAA